TTGTTCAGCATCTTAGCTGTGGAGGGCAGTGTCACTGGCCCTCATATGTGGGATCCGAACCGGGGCCCTCTGGCATCCCAAGCCAGTTCTTAACCATTGTGCCACTCGGCCGGCCCTGTTTTTTTCCCCTCTTAATTTAACCTTGTTTAAATAATAAAGTCTTATGAAGTACAGTGTACTTAGGACTAGATTCCTGACTGTTCATTATAAAACAGTCATGTTTTATTAAATGAGACATTTCTCTCCAGCCACACCACCTAATAATACCTAAATCACTTAAGATTGTTTGGCTCATGTTAATAGGATGGTGTGTGCTTATTATTAAAAAATAAGTTACTTAATGGTGTATGTGTGTGTGTGTGTGTGTGTGTGTGTGTGTGTGTGTGCGCGCGCGCGCGCGCTCTATTAAAGGTTGTTAATGGAGCTTATAGAGCTGTTAATGAAGTTTATAGACCCCTTGAATATTGATGAAAGCTATATTATTGCTCTCCTTAGAAATATGTCATCAGTGGAATACTGTGAAAACTTCCTTAGCGTTCAGAATTGTTGATTTCCCTGCTTCTTCTGCCTCCATTTAGGAATGGCTGCCCTAGATGCTTTCTGGCACTGGTCTTATTCTAATATACTTACAAAGCTATTAATTTGGAGTGTCTCCCAGCTCACAGTGGTTCTTATTTCCCTGAGATCTGCCCCTGGTCCTTAGTGGGAGTTCCAGAAGCCATGACTACCTGACTCCACCTTTGTCACCATTTGAATGGTCCAAGAAGTGACAGCTGACCTGAGCTGGGCCAATTGGATTCCCTTCAGAGATTTTTAGAAATGATGAGGAAAAGCAAGTTAGCTGCTTAGGGTGGGTGAAACAAACAGGTGAACCCAGGAGCAGTGAGGCAGCCACATTTTACTGTAAAGACCTGAGAAAGAGAGAGTGCTGTCTCCAGAGAGAGCAGCAGAGATGACAGCTGGAGAGAGCCCCAGGCGTTCTGGGTTTCCGTTTGAATCCTTCCTAAAGCCCAGCTGCTCTGGACAGAACACCCAGGCTCCCTATGATACAGGACTCTTCTCTTTTGCTGGCTAGATTTGGCTTCAATAACTTGCACCAAAAGAACCTTAAATAATACAAATGAGATATCTGTATGTACTTGATCTTTCACGTATTATGTGTCCTCATTGAGGGGAAACTGACCTTTTCAAAAGTCTCAAGATGAAAGCTATAATACATATAAATTATTTTAGAGCAATTGAATTATTTTCAGAATTTCCCCAAAATGCCTTTTATTTAACTTTATAATTTAAATAATAGACTACCTGAGCCTCTGGGCCCTGCACACAGTGATTTACAAAATGCCTTGTCCTGCCTAAACAGCAGGCATGAATGCACTAGCACCAACAGAGAAACTAGTACAAATATAATTTTCCCATTCATAACTGTAGTGCATACCTGTTGTTGCTTTATTTTAATAGGAGGGTGCAATATAGATGTGTGTTTATGTGTGTGTATGTATATATATGGTACAATCTTTAAAGATCTGTTTTAAAAACAAGATTCCTACTGACTACTTTTAAAAATCAAAATTGTCTTTAATCCAGCTCTGACTTGACATCACTTTTTATCTGATATACTTTATTTCTTATAAAACATTATATTACAAATTCATTGAAGTGGCTAAATTGATAGGGATAAGATAGAATTCCATACATACATAAATATTCATACACACACACACATACACACACACATTAAGCACAGTCACTGCTGATTTGTGGCAAGTAATCATGTCCCAGGTTTGTTTATTATGTGTAGCTTTAACATGTAAACTATAAAAATGTCTGAAAATCTGTGATCCCAAACCACTGGGTATTAACAGAAATTTGCTTCAATATTGGTGTTAAGCCTCAACAACAGATAGGAGGATAATCAAGGGATGTATATGAGAATCAACTATACCATAAAATATTAACATTTATATTTACATAATAAAATAATACTTTCTCACTGAAATTTTGGGAAGTATAGGAAAGCCTAAAAAAGAAAAACAGGGTGACCAGTTAGTTCAGTTGGTTAGAGCAGGGTAACATCAAGGTTGCCAGTTTGATCCCCACATGGGCCACTGTGAGCTGCGCCTTCCCTAAAAGCCATTGTAGCATGAAAGCAATGTATAACCAATGACCATGGCTGTTCTCCAATAAAATTAAAATAAGAGAAAAAAATGTAGCCAAATCCTATCACCAGAGATAATTAAACTGGTGATGTGTTTTCTTATCTTTTTTTGTCTGCTCATATACGTGTATGTTTTTGTAAACTTGAGATCATATTATGGATATAGTATTGTCTCTACTTACTATTTTCTCTAGTATTTCATTAGCCCTTTCTCACGTCACTAAATATTTTTTAAAAACAAGATGTTTAATAGCTGCATAATGTTCTGTCATGTGGCAGTACCCATGTTATTACAGTCATTCAGCAGATGTAAGTAGTACTCTTGTAAGTGCTGAAACATGAGGATTCACTGATAATTGAAGGCAGTTCTGAGGAATCTCAGACTCTAGTGGCAAAGACTGGACCTTGAACATTAATTACAGTATGGTAAGGCTGCATTAGGGGGACATGCAGGCATCTGTTGGCTTGTAAGTAGCCCATTTAACTCATCAATAAGGGAGAATGACATTGCTCAAGGAGGGCAGGTTGGAAGAGAAGAGAAAAAAAACTAAGGATGGCACTCTGAGAAATATTCACATTTTTCAAATTTGAGAAACATTAAAATCTCCAGGTTCCCATTTCCAACCATACACTCCAGCTCAGTTTTCTATAGGCGCTTAAAACATTCAAGCCTGAACCACTATTCCCTTCCCTACTAAATCCCTCATCCCTGAGAAGCCAAGCACATGGATGGGAATTACAAAATTAGATAGGTGGTCAGAGGGGGCACTGAGAAGACAAGATGCCCAGGGGGAAGGGCAAAGTTGGAGAGGCCACCACAGCCCAGGTCAGAGTCTAAGGAACCAAATAGGCAACAGAGATTCGCCTGTGGAGGAGGTGTCCTGAGGCTGGCCTGAAACTCAACTCTGACCAGGAGGTCAGAAACTTAATTCTGA